CAGGGCGGCGGGACCGGGGCGAGCTGGAGGCCGGACCGGGGCGGGTTGGAGCTCTCAGAGCGCCGGGACCGGAGCGGTTTGGAGCCGGGACCGGAGCGGTTTGGAGCCGCTACCGGGAGGAGCTGGAGCCGCTACCGGAGGGGGTTTGGAGCCGGTACCGGCGGGAGCTGGAGGCGGAACCGGGGCGGTTTAGAGCCGGTACCGGGGCGGGTTTGGAGCCCGTACCGGGCGGGTTTGGAGCCGGTACCGGGAGGAGCTGGAGCCGCCACCGGGGGGGGTTTGGAGCCGGTACCGGGGGGGGTTTGGAGCCGGTACCGGCGGGATTTGGAGCCGGTACCGGAGAGGTTTGGAGCCGGTACCGGCGGGGTTTGGAGCGCCCAAAGTGCCGGCAGCGGGGCCGGAGGGAGCGGGAGCGCAGAACCGCGGGAAGGGCGGGGAGTTTGGAGCCGGTACCGGGGCGGCTCGGAGCCGCCGGAGCCCCGGGCCGGCTCCGGTGCCGGTGCCGCCGTGACCGGCCCGTCCGTTCCCGTCCACAGAAGCGCTGGGGCCGCTGAAAACCGAACCGCAGGTGAGGGGGGCCCCGGGGGCACCGGCAGGGGACGGCGCACGGGGATTCCCCCGCCGCTCCGTCCCCTCGCCGCTCCCGGGGGCTCCGGGAGGGGCCCCGGGGCTCGGGGGGGGTCACGGGAAGGTCCCGGTGTTCACGGCGAGCCCCTCTCCCCTTCCCCCCCCCGCTCGGTTCCCGGTACCGGCAGCCCCCGGAAAAGCGGCGGAGGACGATCGAGGACTTCAATAAGTTCTGCAGCTTCGTGCTGGCCTACGCCGGGTACATCCCGGCGACCGCCGAGGTAACCGGGGAGGCACCGGGAGGGCGCCGGGGGTTACCGGGAGCTACCGGAGAGGCAGCGGGAGGGCCGGGGAAGCACCGGGAAGGCCGCGGAGGCATCGGGAGGGATCGCGTGGGGAACGGGAGGGCGCCCAAGGCCTGCGGGAGGTACCGGAGGAGCCACCGGGAGAATACCGGGAGTTACCGGGAGGTACCGGAGGGGCTCCGGGAGGTCGCGGGGAAGCACCGGACGGGGTTTAAAGGGGCGGGAGGTCTTTAAGGGGGGGGTCCCCGGTCCCTAAAGCCGCCCCCCCTCATAAATGAGGACATCATGGTGGAGTCGGGTGAGTGTGGGGGAAATGTGGGGGGGTTTTGGGGGAATTTGTGGGCTTTTGGTGGTCCTAGAGAAGTTTTAGCAGGTCTTAGAGGGGTTTGGGGGGAGATTGGGGGGTGTCAGAGGGGTTTGGGGTCCCTGGAGGGACATGCAGGTGATGGACAAGGACATCACAGTGGAGTCGGTTGAATTTGGGGGGGTCTGGGGGTCCTGGAGGAGTTTTACAGGGTCTTAGAGGGGTTTGGGAGGAGATTTGGGGGTCTCAGAGAGGTTTGGGGTCCCTGGAGGGGATGTGAGGGTCATGGATGAGGATATCATGGTGGGGTCAGTTGAATTTTGGGGGTTTTGGGGGAAATTTGGGGGGTTTTGGTGTTCCTAGAGGAGTTTTAGGGGGTCTTAGAGGGGTTCAGGGGAGGTTTGGGGGTCTCAGAGGGGTTTGGGGTCCCTGGAGGGGACATGTGTGTCATGGATGAGGACATCATGGTGGAGTCGGGTGAGTTTTGGGGAGATTTGGGGGAAATTTGGGGTTCCTGGAGAAGTTTTAGAGGTTCTTAGAGGGGTTTGGGGTGAAGTTTGGCAGTTTGGGGTCCTTGGAGGGGGTTTGGGGTGAGGTTTGGGGGTCCCAGTGGGGTTTAGGGTCTCTGGAGGGGATGCACGGGTCGTGGACAGGGACATCGTAGTCGAGTCAGGTGAATTTTGGGGGAAATTTGGGGGGAATTTGGTGCCCCTGGAGGAGTTTGGGATGAGGTTTGGGGGTTTGGGATGAGGTTTGGGAGGTCCTGGGGGAGTTTTTGGGTTTCTCAGGGGAGGTTTGAGGAGTTTTGGGTAGTATTTGGGACATAAATTTTGGGATTTAGTTGATGCCAGAGCAAACTTAGAGATCCCGGGTGGTATTTGGGACATAAATTTAGGATATTTCACCACTCCTTTAATATTCCAAGTGCTTTTTGGGCTTATCACACCCCAAATTCCTCCATTTTCACCGCAATTTTTTATTATTTTTTACTCTGCTATAAACTTTTTAACATTTTACCTTTTTGGGGTTTTTTTTAGGTGACGATTCGTGGGATTTGATCACCTGCTACTGCCAAAAACCCTTCGCGGGCCGGCCCATGATCGAGTGCAGCCAGTGCGGCACCTGGATCCACCTGTCCTGCGCCAAGGTGAAGAAAAACAACGTCCCCGACGTCTTCTATTGCCAAAAATGCCGCGAGGGACCCCGCAGGGCCGCCCCCGCCACCCCCCGAGCCACCGGGGACTCCTAAACCCCCTCCCCAAAAAGGGTTTGGGGGGTCCCCGGCCTCGCTTCTGGCAGGGTTTGTGCTCAAAATCGGAAATTTTGGGGTTGTGACCTTCCCTGGAATTGTGGGCTGTGGAGGTTCCTCCTGAAAATTAAGTTTTGGGCGGGTTGGGTCGTTCTCAAAATGTGGAATTTTGGCGGTTGGACGCCGGCCCGGAACGGTGAGGTTTGGGGTTTGTGACGTTCCCGCGAAATTTGAGATTTTGGGGGTTGCGGCTCTCCCTGGAATTGTGAGGTTTGGGGGTTGGAAGGTGCCCAAAATTGGAGATTTTGAGGGTCGGAACCTCCCCCCTCTCCAAATTGTGAGGGTTTGGGGTTCGTAAAAGCCCTGAAATGGTGAGATTTTGGGTCCAGCTCCCTCAAAAATGGGGAGGTTTGGGGGGTCTTTTACCC